GCTGTAGCCACTCAATCCCGTGAGCGTTGCTCATTGTCACGGTCACGAGGCAGAGCGGCCAGGGGCTGGTTTTAGCTTTGCCTTTGCAAACGGTGAGAGCGGCCTGTTTCCGACCTACGTGGTTCCATGGCAAACCAGACGTGTGTGCGCAGTGTGAGCGCACATGCACACACACACGTGCACGGCTGTCATCAGCTGAGGCTCAGTTAGCTCCCTGGGGAATTCAAGTTCCGTACCACTTTCTAGAGTGAAAAATATCCTACCTTGCACGTGAGGCGCTCTGTTTTCTGTCCTACACCTGGGGCTCAGTGCAGCAGGGCAGAAATCAGGATGGGCATGCGCTTTATCCGCGTTTAGTTGCTCTGATAACTTAATTCCTCTTTTTATGAATTCCCCTGGGCCCCTGAGCCCTGAAGACTGGCCTTTCCAATTCAAAAGGAAGGGGAACATCCCCAGGCAGCCTGATGTGGATGACGGATCTCAGCCGTGCTCTTAGCAGGGGTGCTTGGCCTTCGCACGTTTGCGCTGCAGCTTTTCGAATCGCCGCCTGCGCATCAGCGTTTCCAGCCAGGGTTTGAGCTGTGGACTCGCACCGTTCCTGCAGCACCCGCACCGCCGCTTCCTTACCTGGAGAGGGGTGCTGTAGGGAAGCTCCGCTTTCTCGCCGCCCTGGGTGGCCACGGAGGGGTTGCTGGAGCTGATGAGCACGGGGGAGCTGATCTCCAGCGCCTGCCGCTCGGCGGGCGCGTGGACCATCCGGTTGAGGGTGTTGAGGGCAGTGGTGATGGAGAACTGCCGCAGGCTCTTCCGCCTGGAGTCGGGCGCCTTGGGGAAAGCCGGCGGATCGGCGCCCTTGGCTTTGGGAGACACTGTTCGTAGGGACGCACACTTAAACTGAGGGGACCAGTGGGTTTTGGTGGTCTGCAGGAGCTGCCTCGCAGTGGTGTTTGCCTGGAAGAGACGGAGACAGTGCAGCAGGTTTCAGGAGTTACGCCTCGCTCAGCTCGCTGACTGCTCCCTTTTCCCTTTTCCCTCTTTCTTCCCTCTCTGGCATATTTCGGGTGATGTGACCGGTGATCTTTAAGGACTCATAGCTCAGTCATTTCCCTGATACCTTTTCAGTGACAAATCCCGGATGCAAAATCAATGACGCAAAGCTGACGGCAAAATGAAGATTGGTTTGAAAAACGCGTTGCTTAGACACCATGTTACGGAGGCCGAGTGCCCCCCCGGCCTTACGGAAAGGTGCGCTTTGTGTCAAACCTGTGGCTTGTGGAGGGGGAAGGAGAGCTGGCTGGCCCTGGCAGCATGGTAACAAATCTAACTCTGAATTAGAAGGGATGTTTGGGCACATAGAATCACAGAATGGTTTGGGTTGGAAGGGACCTTAAAGACCATCTAGTTCCAACCCCCCTGCCATGGGCAGGGACACCTTCCACTAG